CAGCGTGGCTGGCTCAGGAATTCTGGGAATTGAAGTCCACGAGTCATAAAAGAGCCAAGGTTGCCTACCCCTGGCCTAGTGCAGTGTTTCTCAACCTTGGCCGCTTGAAGATGTGTGGACTTCAGCTCCCAGAATTCCTGAGCCAGCTATGCTGAGGGGAAAGGGAGAGGTTTACAAGCTGAGCCATGCTGGCTCAGGAATTCTGGGAGTTGAAGTCCACCAGTCATAAAAGAGCCAAGGTTGCCTACCCCTGCCCTAGAGATTATTCCGCCTAGAATTGAAGCTGGCCAGGTTGAGAGGAGAAGACTGAGAAGGTTAAATCCATTCATAATGGATTTCCTCCGACTAGAAACTAGTCCAGAGATGGCAAACCTTTTAGAGACCGAGTGCCCAAAAAATGGCCCTGCCCTTGCCTCGCCTGTCCTGCCCCGGCCCTGCCCGCAGGGCCACCCCCGGCCCTGCCCGCAGGGCCACTCCACGGCCTGCTGCAGATCGTCCAGGTGGCCCAGCAGCGCCATAATGGCCACACCCTCCACTCGCACCCCGCAGCATCATCTGCGCGCAACGGGGTGCAATGGCGGAGTCTTGTCCCTGCTGCCCAGCTGCCATGTGCTTGGCTGCGTTGCTCTGTGTGGGCCGCGCCTGGGGGTGACCTTCCTCCAGGGGGGCTGCTGGTGAGGAGGGGGCCACAGGGAGAGGCGGGGCTGGGGCCACGGCGCGCGTGCCGTAGGTTCGCCACCACAGAACTATTAGATATAACCGACATTATGACCACCTTTGAAGGACTGGAATTGAGGAGGCTCATTAAGACATCACTGATGTCATTTTCAGCTGTATCTGATCATCTCCTAAAAGTGCTACTAAGTTCTTGGCATGAGATCTTTTTTTCTTGCCTGCTAAAAAAAACACCCCCAAATCTTTTAAGCCAAGCCTCTCCCGCCGGCCTCTCTCCATAGTTGGAGTTGGAGCTGATTCTGGAAATAGCCAGTTGTTAATTTCTACTCAGGCTCCCCTCTGTGTGTATATGTTTGTGATCTAGACTTGCGAGTGGGAGAGGCTCTCCGTCAAACCACTTCCCTCTCGGATCAACAGTGGATTCAGCCATAAAGATGCCTCACCTTCCCACTTCCTGAAACATAATCTGAAGGCTAACATCTGGAAGACGACTGCAGCACAGTGAGAAGAAATAAAAATGTCACTCAGCTTTCCACAGCCAGCCATTTATTCTGCAAATGGCAGGAAACCAGCAGTGGCCACAAGCACAGGGTTAAAAAAAGGTGTTGCGTACCCCCCTCCCTCGCCAAGGAGGCACGGCGTTAAGCACAGCGATGCCCTTGCCACAGGGATCCTTCTCCTTCAAAATACATACGCGCTCTAACCTTCTACAAATATTTAAGACGTGGTCATCGCTGTACTGTTTGCCAGTGAGTTTTAGACGTTAATGGCACAATTCCAATTCCGTTCACTATTTGCTATAGTTTTTTTATATTTATTTTCATCCCGCCTTTATTATTTTTATAAATAACTCAAGGCGGTAAGTATATCTTACCAGCAGCCTGAGCGGTCTTTGGGACCCGTAGAATGATCTACGTCACATCATTGCTTCACTGGCTGCCGGTTTGCTGCCGGGTGCAGGTCACAATGTTGGTTATGACCTTGAGAGCCGTCCATGGCATAGGTCCAGATTACTTGACGAACCATCTCGTCACGCTAAAACAAACCTGCCCTACTTGTGCAGGCGGAGGAAGCTTGCTGAGGATTCTGTCGGTCAAGGAACTCTGACTGAAGGGATCCAGGAGAGCCTTCTCTGCTGTAGTGCTGGCCTGCTGGAACATCCTACCTGTTCCCCAGGGTGAGGTTTGCCCCCACCCTCCCATCTTTCCGCAAAGGCCTGAAGACCTGATTCTGTGGTTGGCCTGGAGAACCACGCTTGCTTCTGTGTTCGCTACCATGCAGTGACAGTCTGCCATGAACTCTGGGGGATGCTTGGGGGAAAGTGAAAGTATTGATACGTATCCCCAAGAAGCTGCTTCAAGGTCACTCGGTTGGGAGAAGAAGGCAGCTGCACACCACTATATAGACTATTCTCATCAGGAAGGCCCTCTGAGCATTTAACTAATATTTCAGCTTCTCTTTTCTTTATGGTATGTGGGACAAGGCAGTTGCAAATCCAGCCTTTTCTGCGCACTTCTTCCCATTTCAAATCATGGACAAGTGGGACCCTTAAGAGGAGAACAAAGAGTTGTGTTTTTTTTTTAAGGGACGGTACAGATACACAGCCCAGAACTGAAAGTGACGTCAGGTAATCTTACTGTGCTAAAATAAAACACTCTTCATAAATGTGGTAGCAACTGGTGGTCAGGAAAGTACCTTTATATGGGAACAGGATGAGGAACCTGTAAGACCTAAATTGTTCCACCTACTGGGAATCTAAATCTGCTACCATCATCATCTGTCATGTATCCAAGCAGCCTCAAAGAGACCAAGCGGCAGATTCAACTTAAATGGGGCTTTGGATCTGGATACGTGGATATATGGAATTATTTCCTCTGTTTCTGCGGACCTCTTTCAGTGATACATTAGAAACCTTTTCTTTGGGGTAGAGATGTCTACCTTTGGCCACTTTAAGATTTGCTAGCTGGGGAATTCTGGGAGTTGAAGTCCAAAAATCTTAAAAGTTGCCCAGGTTGGACACCCCTGGTCTAGGCAGAATGTCCTACCTCAAAGGTTATCTTATTTCTTCCTTACTTCTGTTACATTCCCAGCATTGCTGCCAGTCAATTCTAAATTCAGATGACTATTCCTTCCTGCTCCAGACACAGAATCCTAGTCCACGGACCGGGGGTTGGGGACCCTTGCTCTACAACATTTAATCTGAGATTAGGCAGTGTGATACTCTCAATATTTCTTCGGCTACAATTTCTACAATCTCTTGCGATCAGTTCTGCAGGCTAGAACTAAGGGAAATTGAGACACAAAACCTTAGAAGGCACCAACTGTTTTCTCCTATTATGAAGCCCTAAGGCCACCACCACTCGGTATAGTGGAGCATCACAAAGCTTTTGTGCAATTCTCACCCTGCCCAATTTCCAGAAGCCACGTAATCCAAACTTGCTCTCCAAGTCTGGTTAAGAGTTAATTTGGTGCTCATCGGTAAAAAGAGTACCTCAAGTAGAACGGTTATAGAGGCAGCATCCACTTTTTAACTAGATTCAGAAACATTCAGAGTGCAGACAGGTCATGGCAGGTTAATGTTGGGTTCGCCAAGATGAACCTTTTCAGAAGACGAGGGGGGACATGATAGCAGGGTTCCAGTATCTCAGGGGCTGCCCCAAAGAAGAGGGAGTCAAGCTATTCTCCAAAGCGCCTGAAGGCAGGACAAGAAGCAACAGATGGAAACTAATCCAGGAGAGAAGCAACCAAGAACTAAGGAGAAACTTCCTGACAGTGAGAACAATTAACCAGTGGAACAACCTGCCTCCAGAAGCGGTGAATGCTCCAACACTGGAAGTTTTTAAGAAGAGATTGGGCAGCCATTTGTCTGAAATGGTATAGGGCAGTGATGGCGAACCTTTTAGAGACCAAGTGCCCAAACTTCAACCCAAAACCCACTTATATATCGCCAGGTGCCTGGTGGGTGTGGCCGCTGGGGGTGTGTGGCCGGCCAGGTGGGCGTGGCTACAGTGGTCATGGCAGATGGGTGGGCATGGCCAGCTCGATGTTGCTCCTGGGGAGGGACACGTGTGGGGGCTGGGCAGGGTTGGGAGAGATCCAGGGGGTCTCTGGAGGGTGGGGTGGTGGGCAGGAGGCTGGTCCTGTGGGGTGAGGTGAGGCAAGGTGAGGCAGGGCGGGGATGCCATTGTCGCAGGGTGAGGCAGGGGCCTGGCACCATCGGCTCCCGCACACAGAGGCCAGCGAGCGCATGGGTGCTGGGATGCATCCAGCCACGTGGGACCTCAGCGAGTTAGTGGGCAGCTGGTTGAAGAGGACGGTTGCCCTCTCCGGGGCATGGCACGCGTGCCCACAGAGAGGGCTCTGAGTGCCGCCTCTGGCACGCGTGCCATAGGTTCGCCACCACTGGTATAGGGTTTCCTGCCGAGCAGGGGGTTGGACTTGATGACCTCCAAGGTCCCTTCTAACTTGATGATGATGATGATGATGATGATGAAGATGGGCTGAGGGTTCTGTAACTTCATACCACTTCAGCCTCCGTCAGCATGACTAACGTAGCTGAGCATCATTGGGAAAGCAACAGCTGCCTCCTCTACGGACAGATTTCCTTGCTGCATAAAGACCACACGAAGGCCATGTTTGCAATCTGTGTGTGTGTGTGTGTGTGTGTGTAGGAATACCCCATGCCCTCTCCCAGTGCTTCAAGATAAGAATATGAAATGGCACCGGGTGTGTGCGTGTGTGTGTGTCTTAAAATGCCTTTTTAAAGCAGCAACTGCTCTGCAATCCAAATTAATTCACACCCGGGCACTGAGCATTTCGGCTTCCTCCAATAAGCCTGCCTTTGGAAACAGTTATATTCAGTAATATGAAGCAGTCCTCCTTCTCCATCTGCTCCGAAAAGAGGAACAAACAAGCCGCGGCTGAAAGAAGGAAGGAAGGAAGGAAACCTGCTCCACCATCTCCTAGGAAAACCATGCCAGAGCGAGAAAAGCCTCTCCCCTCCCCTACACACACACACACACACACACACCCCACACACACACACAGGCAGGGGAGGAGTGGGGTGCTAAGAAAGGAGCAGGGACACAGATTCAGAAGATACCAAAATAAGCCACCCAGCGCTGAGACTCCCCCTCAGTCAGAAGCGATGGTCAAAGACAGAAGCAATTTCAGCTCACTCATGATTTTCCCACCCACACGCATATAAACATATTAAAAAAACGGGCTGGTTAATGTGTGCTGGCTTGAGTCATCAGCCATATGATCAAAGAATTGATTTTTTTTTTTAAAAAAAAAAGGGGGGGGGAGAGAACTGGTTTACTCACTGTCTTGGGTACAATCTGTTTCTTAGGCTGCCCGATCTTGAACGGAATCCTGGATTGGAAAGAGAAGCAGAGATAAGAAGCTAGGCAAACAAGCCAGCATGCCGTGTTTATCATCATCTTTTCAAGGAGGGATTAAAAAAAAACAATTGGGGAGCTGAGGATCGCAGAGGCGCTCCCATCTTTCCCACCCCGACCAAGCACACACACACACACACCCCAGGAGCCAACTGCTTCTTTGACAGGACCAGAGCAGGATGGCAATATCGTTATGAAGACTGCAGGCCTAGGGGAACTTTGGCAGAGCAAATCTCTGTACAATTTAAGTGGAAAAGCAAATTGCAGGGATCAGGAAATAAAACCACCTCAAATGTCTGGATCAGAAAGGGGAATGTGAGGCACCTATCCTATCGGAAAGCTATAATAATAATACTAATAATAATACTAATAATAATAATAATAATGATGATGATGATGATAGTGATAATGATAATAATGATAATAATAATAATAATAATAATAATAATAATAATAATAATGATAATGATAATAATAATACGAAGAAGAAGAAGAAGAAGAAGAAGAAGAAGAAGAAGAAGAAGAAGAAGAAGAAGAAGAAGAAGAAGAAGAAGAAAAAGTAGTAGTAGTAGTAGTAGTAGTAGTAGTAGGAAGGGACCTTGGAGGTCATCTAGTCCAACCCCCTGCTCAGGCAGGAAACCCTATAACATTTCGGACAAATGGCTGTCCAGTTTCTTCTTAAAAACTTCCACTGTTGGAGCATTCACCGCTTCTGGAGGCAGGTTGTTCCACTGGTTAATTGTTCTAACTGTCAGGAAGTTTCTCCTTAGTTCTAGGTTGCTTCTCTCCTGGATGAGTTTCCATCCGTTGCTTCTTGTCCTGCCTTTAGGGGCTTTGGAGAATAGCTTGACTCCCTCTTCTTTGGGGCAGCCCCTGAGATATTGGAACACTGTTATCATGTCCCCCCTCGTCCTTCTCTTTGTTAAACTAGACAGACCCAATTCCAGCAACCGTTCCTTATATGTTTTAGCCTCCAGTCCCCTAATTATCTTTGTTGCTCTTCTCTGCACTCTTTCTAGAGTCTCAGCATCTTTTTTACATCGCGGTGACCAAAACTGGATGCAATATTCCAAGTGTGGCCTTACCGAGGCCTTGTGAAGTGGTATTAATACTTCACGTGATCTTGATTCTATCCCTCTGTTATTGCAGCCTAGCACTGTGGTGGCCTTTTTGGCAGCTACAGTACACGGCTGGCTCATATTTAGGTGATTGTCCACTAGGACTCCGAGGTCCCTCTCACATGGCAAATAAGGGGGGCTCAGATTGCCTCCAGAAGTTGTGAGGCTTTTAAAAAAAGATTGTGCAGCCATTTGTCCAGAATGGCATAAGGTCTCCTGCTTGAGCAAGGGGTTGGACTAGAACAGGGGTCCCCAACCCCCGATCCGTGGACCAGTACCGGGCCACGGCATGCCAGCAACTGGTCCACACAAACAAGCAAAGCCCCATCCGCGGGATGCAGGCAGCACACAAAACCACACACACTCCGGTCCGCGGGGAAAACCTCTCTCCACGAAACCGGTCCCTGGTGCCCAAAAGGTCGGGGACCTCTGGACTAGAAGACATCCAAGATTCCTCCCAACTCTGTTATTCTGATCATGTCATGCTCCGCGCTTAGTGTTTTACACAATTTCCATCCCCTTTCAGTGTGTATTCTTTGTGCCGTTTACAGTGACATTAGCTTGGTGGACAATACAACTCACTCACACTCTCTCTTTCCACCACCCACCCAAGTATATACATGCACATGTACATCACTCTCTGTGTATGTGCGAAACGGCACATGTTTTCAAGCTGTCTAATCTTTCTGCTTTATAAGAGAAACTATATGTTATGAACAACCTATAAGGTCAAGGCAGTTTTCTATGCTACTCTAATGTCGTGGGTGCATTTTTCATATTTCTTCAGCAACAGATGATTGGCATACTAACATGTTCGGGTGCATGTGGAGGTAGATTCCAGCCAAAAGAACATTTGATTTCTTTACAGAATTTATGTTCCTTCTTGTTTCCAAAGAGATTAAGGGATCCATATGGCTTTAATCTTCCAGACATCAACCTATCAAAACCCTGAATCTTCTCTGACATTCTTTGAAGTGTATGCGTAAGAATCATACTATAAATTAATGATAATCTGTGCCCCTCTTCCATCAACCACAGTATGAACTCCTATGTGATGGCTGTTTAATCCTTCTAATTAGAAAAAGGAAGGGTCAGACAAGCAACAATGACAGTTACAGGCCAAAAAAAAATCTGTAATGAACAACTTATTGCATAAAGGTTCTGCACTAATCAATCACAACTTTGTTCCACCTAGTTCTCCAGCACCTGATTCAAGGGTACACAACCTTTTGTGAATTGTGGGCCACGCTGAGCATCTGAATAATGTGCAAGAGATGTTTTTTCCCAAAATAATGGGCAGGGTCGGGACAAAAAATTAAGTTCTGAATGCATTGTATTTACATTTGAATTTAATTGAAATTAAGAACTGTATTGCTGCAGGTGGCTTTGGGTTGTCTGGTAGCACACCCTAATCTGTTCCAAATGTCAACAGACTTTATTTATTTTAAGTAGCATTATTTCCACCTTTGGGTTTCAAGATGCTTTCAAGTGGAAGTCCCAGGGAAATGAACCTGGGGTGATCTACTTGAAAACCATGGGCTGCATTGCTTGTGCTATAACAAATCCCTCATATTTGCCTAGGACAGTGGTTCTCAACCTTTTTAATGCCGCGACCCCCAACTGGTCATACGTCGAGGACTAAACCGGTCGTACGTCGAGGACTAAACCGTCGTAAGTCGAGGACTACTCAACCGGTCGTAAGTCGAGGACTTTCCCTGCCCGGGAGCGCCGCGCATGCGTGGTTCCGCCCCCTGCGCCGGCAGAGGCGTAGCTGGCAAGTGGCAGAGACGGAGCAGGCCGACCACCAGCTGGCCCAGCTCAAGGAAGGTAAGGCACCCGCCGGAAAAGGGGGAAAAAAATGGCGGACAGCCTTGCTTGGCGACCCCCGTGAAATGGTTGATCGACCCCAAATGGGGTCGCGACCCATAGGTTGAGAACCGCTGGCCTAGGATGTAGAGAAGGCAAAGAGCAAAGACAGAAAAAGTGGAAACTACAGCATCTTTTGAAGAAAGCTCATGGTAAGGCAGTCACATATGTATGCAAAGCAAATTGTCAAACATTTCTTGGAAGAATTCTGTAGTGATGAATCTCATTTTCGTTGCCACTGAGAAAGAAGCAAAACTTTGCCAAAAAGCGATTTTCAACCCCTTTAATAGTGGAGAATTAAACTCCCTTCTCACAAATGTGTATATATTTATACTGCTTCCTTCAACTGCTTTGGCGGTCAACGAAAGCATCACCAGGTCTACAGAAGAAGGTCAAGACAATCGGCACCACCTTCAAAATCCTGCTTTGATGCAGACATTAAAAATGGATGCGCTTTTGTCCAGCCCGTCTTGAAACCCCAAAGTGGAAATAACGCTGCTTAAAATGAATAAAGAGCCCTGTTTCTCTCAGCCAGCAGTTGATCTGGCTCCTTCCGAATGCAGTTCAATCTCTCCCAATGGCCAGGATGGAAATGTTTCATCATATGCTCCTCCTCCAATGCAGACATGTTCTTTCGCCTCTAGCAGAAGGCACTCAGCAAAGAACGAGTTCAATACGGCTTACGTGTAGGGATGTATGTGCAAGAGTATCTAGACACAGTCATGCCTCAAGGCAACCTTAAGAGGCAGAAGAAACCCAGACAGTTTTAAAAAGAAGTCTTCCTCTTGATGAGTTTTGGAAAATGTGAAGGATTAATCCACTATTCCTTTGGCATACTTCTATCCTACTCCTCCAGCCAGGATGACAGAACATGATCTGAGGGGTCCTTGGTGCCCTCTGTGCTTGTTTTCTTGCAGAAGCATTAGCACTTAGACCAGGGGTAGGCAACCTTGGCTCTTTTATGACTCGTGGACTTCAACTCCCAGAATTCCTGCTGGCTCAGGAATTCTGGGAGTTGAAGTCCACGAGTCATAAAAGAGCCAAGGTTGCCTACCCCTGACCTAGACTTATATACCGCTTCATAGGGCTTGACAGCCCTCACTAAGCGGTTTACAGAGTCACATTGCCCCCAAGAATCTGGGTCCTCATTTTACTGAGCTCAGAAGGATGGAAGGCTGAGTAAGCCTTGAATCGGTCAGGATCAAATTCCTGACTTTGGGCAGAGTTAGCCTACAATACTGCATTATAACCCCTGTGCCAGCAGGGCGGTAGGTAGGTAGGTAGGTAGGTAGGTAGGTAGGTAGGTAGATAGATAGATAGATAGATAGATAGATAGATAGATAGATAGATAGATAGATAGATAAGGCAGACAAATAGACAGACAGACAGACAGACAATGGGGGGAGAGTGAGATAATGTAACACTGCAATCTTGAGCCGGTCAGGATCAAACTGCTGGCACTCGGCAGAGTTAGCCTGCAGTACTGCATTCTAACCACTGCGCCACCATGGCTGCTTTATTACTCAAGCTAGGTAACATCACCAGGGCTGGTAAGGAATGGGGTTTGCTCCAGCACTGATGATGTTACCTAGTTTGGGTAATGAAACGTCTGCAAGAAAACAACCAAGCTCAGAGAGCACCAAAGGACCCTCCGATCAATGTTCTGTCATCCTTGCTGGAGGAGTAGGATGGAAAGTATGCCGAAGGAATAGTGGATTAACTGTTCACGTTTTCCAAAAACCAAGCAAGGGAAAGAGAGGAGCAAGGACCCTTCATTTCAACCCTGGGCTACAAATATTCTCCTTTATCAGTAGAACACGATCTACTTACACCAGCCGTGTAAGGGGAGCCAGGCTGCACCCCGGGCTAAGAGAGTGTCCCAAATTGAGCATATGTGACACAAAGTTTGCTGCGCCTGCTCGTGAGACCACCTGCCGTTGACACTTTTGGCGCCATTCCGCAAATACTACACCACCGGAGACGGTGCTCT